TAAAAGAAATTAGGACCTACATTCAAAGGGCTGGTTATTAAATATTGTATCTTCAAAAAACCAGCATGCTGAAAAACATTGGTATTTCATAGATAAAAATTTCAAGAGATAGAAAGGAACATACATCTTAAACTTTCATAATGATGCAAAGATGCTTCTAACAAAGGCTGCCTCTGATGAACTGACTTTTCTAAAGTATTTTTAAAAGGTTAACAGATAGAGTTAACCTTCAAAATAAGTTCAAGGATGTGTTGCTAAATGTGAGGTGTCTGTTTATCTGGAATACAGATCAAAATGCTACAGAATTGCCAAAGGAAAATAAGCTGTTTTCCCAGTCACATATAAATACCTTTAAAGGTATGTTTGGGGGATCTTTAAATTCTATATTCAATTTGTGTCTGCTCAAAACAAGAGCACAAGTGGTTCATTAAGAAAAGGAAGAACAGGGGCACCTGGGTGGCTCAGTCAGTTGAGCCACTGACTTTGGCTCAGGTCATGATCTCACCATCTGTCAGTTTGAGCCCCACATTGGGCTCTGTGCTGACAGTTCAGCGCCTAGAGTCTGCTTTCAATTCTGTGTCTCCCCCTCTCTCTTCCCCTCTCCCACTAGTGCTCTGTCTCTCTGTCTCTGAAAGGTTAATAAACCTTAAAAAATTTAAAAAAAAAAGAAAAGGAAGAACAACTGGAGGTTATATAAGGACAGCTTCTTCTAATCACCATGTCCTTTGATACACAGTTAGAAATCTATCTCCCCCCAAAAGAAAATCAATATTTATAGAGCATCCAGCATTTCAAATACATGGTTAGTGTTATGACTATACTGTATTTTAAAGTTCTTAAGCTTTTTACCTGTGACTGATAGGAAAAAAATGTGGGCATTTATAATGGGTTGCTCTGTGAAGAGTGGTTTCTGCTGACATCACTTCATTTCAAAGGATTTGCTAGGACAATCACATTGCCTCCAGCTGTAACAGCCCAATTACTAGTAAAAACTGCCTCAGACTTTAAGAGCCTACAGGGCTTTAAAAATCAATGATGCTTTAGTATTTGCATCCTCAAAAAGGCAGCCAGAAAGCAAACTAAACAAGTGTTGAAAATGTATTCTTCAACACTATTTCAAAGTATTTCTATTCTTCATTCATATATCCATTTGGGGGACATAATTAGATACAGCCAGCTCTATCAATATTGCCAATGGCTAATGGGCATAGGCTGAGACAATTAGGATGTACAGTAAATATTTTGCAAAAAAGTCAGATAAAGTAATTCACATACGTAGTTATCTATACATCCCATTTTAACTTTAAATTAATGGGGGCCATGAGAAAAATAAAAATCAACATGTGTAAAAGTAGTCATATTTTAAGCTTATGGGCTCTTATACTATGCTGTTCTATTGCAGAATGTTATTGTTTGCCTAAATCGTGCCTGTTAGACTTTTATATTAGTCCTGGAAGGTAGGATTATATTACTGTGTGTGTCTATAGTTATGGTGTAATCATAATTCCCTAAGAACACGAGTAAACCAATGGAACCTTCTTTTTGGAGAGGAAACTCAGATATATGAAGAGTACCTTTAAGTACCTATAAGTACCTATAAGACATCACAGATATATGAAGAGTAGCTTTCATTTCCCTCTTATCAGTGGGTCCTAAATCAGGGGTTAGATCCGGGAAGTGGGTCTTTACTCAGGGGTTAGGTCAGGAAAGGGGGACAAAAGCTTCCAATGTGCTGCAGTTCTTGTGAGGAGTCTGGCACAGATCAGACATCCATGGAGAATTCAGTAGAAAAGAAGAAACAAAAGTGGCTTCCCTTTAAAGTGCATTGGTCATTCCCTTTAGTCATTCGTTGGTTCTTCTAATTATTCAACACACAGTTTTTCTAGGACTGTAAAATGACAGGAAAGTTGCTAAACACTGTAACTACACGTCTCTGAACTACTATGGATAAAGAGACAAGTAATAGACAAAGAACAATATGGTACATGGTAATAATGGATTGGCTGTGGTATTAAAACTATAGGCAATACACTTTTGAGAGAGAAAGAATACCCAGTCTTTTCAAGACAGAGCTGAAGCATGAAACCAACCAATAAAACAGGCAGTATTTTATAGAGTATATTGGAAGGAAACAAAGTTGTCAGAATTCAATTCATAAAGGCTCAGCACTTAAAGATCACCCTTTGAACAGCTGTGTAAGAGGAGAACAAGATTTTTTTTTAATAGAAGCCTTGGGTGTAAAAAATGGGAGTCTCTTCACAAAACATCTTGGGCAAATTAATAGATACATAAAGGTCCTTCTAGAAAGCATTATAACATTTTCCTTAGCCCGCTTATTAAGGAAGTTTTGGAGAATTAGACAGAATTCAATATAAGCTTTTTAGAGTTTTTCATAAATACCTGTGTGTGTTTGTGTGCATGTATGTATATCAGAGTAAAGGATGCAAGTCTAAGTGTGGGTGTGCACGCATGGATCTCTCTGCTATCCCCATACACCACCTTCTCTCTTTACAAACTTTCCTTTTACCCAAGGAGATGAAAAACAGAATCCCAGCAATTCTGGATGATAGCAAAGAAATCCATGATGTTGATTTTAAGAGTATCAGAGACGATCAGTAATGACTAAAATAGTCATTCACTCAAAAAAGGCTCACCACCATACAAGTGACAGAGTCTTGATTTCCCCAATACAACACATTTTATCTATTTTTGGATGAGCTGAAAGCTGTCTAGGGCTAGAACTGTTTTTGACATCCAACTCTAGTTTCCAGCTTACTTCCTTTCCTTTTTCACTGAGAAGCAATTTATTGTTTTGTGTTTTTGGTTTTTCCTTCTTGCCCATACTACAGCAGGCAGGTTCCATGCTTGGCCACGCTGACAGTCAGAGACATACAAAAACGCAAACGCCCTGAAGAAGTTCCTAGATATTTTTAGCATATTCCCCAAATGTCCTTTTCCTGCTTTCCAAAATACCTTTTTGGATTTAAATAAGCCCATTTCATAAGAACAACAAGCTTCCAAATGATAGCTACGATTTCCAGAATATACAAACAGTCCCTGTTGAGTAACATAAAGTCAATAGTTCCAGAAAGCAAGTGTTCCTTTTTACCCATTAAACTCTAAGGCTTTCATTTCATTACAGTTTGAGAAATGGTTCTACTATTTATCTGCCTTTTTCACTCAATGGGAAATTATTCAAAATCTAACACATTGCTTTTTACAAATAATATTCATCATGGGTGACTACAATACACATGGTTGCAATTATTCTCAAATACTTCTATTCCTGAATATAAGTTGTATATAATCACACATGGCACATTTCTTTCTTCCACTACCCCTTTCTTCGTATTTGAGCTTATATATTTCTACAAGTAATGATTTGGGTTCAGAAGGCATTATCAAAAGAAAATGAAAAGGTTATATAAATGTCACTGCCTTGCTACGAATTTTACATGTTCTTGCCAAATGCGACTCTGAATATCTGGACTGGCTTTCTACTGTAAAGAGAAATACATCTATGCGTGAAATAGTGTTCCTGACAATAGCTTCTTGACATGGAAGAGGCTTGAAAATGTGCAAGAAAAATCCTTCACCTAATCACACATTTACACATGCATTGCTCTCATTTTTCTTTTCTATAGTAATACTGGATCTTAACAAGGAAGTTCATACTGCTCATTGTCCCTTTATCTGTAGAAGAAGAATTTTCACAGCCGCATATATACTTTCAGAAATCAGAGCCTGTCAGAACCTAAACTGGTGTTTCCAAACCGTTCAATAGATTATAATGTAGGAGAGAAGATGTAAGCATGAATGTTTGGTATTCTTGTGGGTTACATAATGATGACATTGATGACCACAAGGCCTATGCATAAGCTATCAAAATAGAATTTTAAAAAATTATTTTATCAATACAGTTGAATTCCCATTGTATTAATTTATGTTTCTGTCTCTTTGTCTAAACTTTGAGATCTTGAAGGCCCCTATGTCTTCTCCTTGTTTGTATTTTCTCATAATGTCTCATGTTACTTCCTTAGAAAACAACGCAATGCCTCAGAGGTTGTTTTTTTAAATAAGTAATACAGCTATTAGGAAAATTCTAGAAAATTATAAAAATAAAATCATTCATAATCACTCCACTCAGGTATGGGATTTTTTTTCACACTTTATATTTTTCTTCTTTTTTAATGGCTAGTAACATTCTTTAAAACAATTTTTAAATTCTTTATTAAAATATATTTTCCCTTTAAATTCATTTCAAATAAATTTAACAGTAAATGCTATGTTTTATTTTAAAAATTTAAAAAGATATAAGGAAAAGAATAAATTATTCACAATCCTATTAGCTTACATTTACACATGCACTGCTTACATCCAGTGATAGCTTACATTTACTTCTATCTCCATATCTACTTTTTGTAACTAAAGTAGGATAATATTTTACTATCCTATATTATGCTTTTCTACATATCTATTAATGAGTAATTTACTACATCATTTAATATTCTTTAAAAAGATAAAGTTTTATATCTGTGTAACTTACCATCCTATATCTTTAGGAAATCATTTAGGCAGTAGGGAACATCTCTGTTTAAATGTTAACAAAATTTCTTGCCAACTTATCCAACTTTATTTGGGAAATAAGGAAACAAAGTCTTACTTCTTTTTAAAATTTTTTTTTTCTTAAATTGAGCTGATACATATTAATTAAATTTAGATCTCTCTGCTTACTCCACTTTTCTGGCATAATACTTGTGCCAAGAAAGAAACAAAGAAAAAGGAATATTTAGCCATTTGAGATAAGTATAGTCCTTCTCATTTGAGATGAAAAATGACTTCATAGTACTACCTTCTCAAATACGATTTTCTGTAATATTATGGTGATAAAATACATTTTAGTTAAACTGGTGGAATAGTAGCAATAATGAAACACATATATAGCATGTTTAATATTTTATTTTTCCCTGCAGATGAAGAAAGATATTAGAATTGTTTACCTGGGGATATGATATAGAAGAAATCTTTAAATTCATCCATCCAAACTTCTGCTAGTCTCCTGTTGTTTTTGTTGATGACATGACCAGTGCCACCAGGGAAAGTGTAAGGAGTTGCCTTCCGAAAAACATGACCAACATGGGAGCAAGTCACAATCTCCAAAGAGCCTCCACATTGCCAAATCTGTGGAAAAAAAGCAATCCTATCTCAATCATTGTAAATAATGCAGTAATAATGTCTGACAAGGAACTGAGGCTAACTAAGGCCAGATCTTTAGATCTTATATGGCTCAAGCAAACCTCAGATGGACACAAAATTTAGAACTGGTATACTTAGCTTGGCAAAGGATTCTAATTTAGAAGAGCTTGATATTTGTAAATATTGTAGTGTTGGACTTGTAAGTTTCAATTATTTTTTCATTGCCTTTGTTAAACTACCAAATTTTCAGTTTCTAGTAGTCAACCTAATCGCTACTTAATAGTATTTAGTATCTAAACTCTGCTATGAATTAATGAATTTATTATACATGTTAGATGTCATGGTAAACATCTAAATTTGTTTAAAGCAAAATCAATTATACTCCACTCATTTTACTCCAGTCATTTTATTTATTTATTTATTTTTTTTTTTTTTTTAAATTTTTTTTTTCAACGTTTATTTATTTTTGGGACAGAGAGAGACAGAGCATGAACGGGGGAGGGGCAGAGAGAGAGGGAGACACAGAATCGGAAACAGGCTCCAGGCTCTGAGCCATCAGCCCAGAGCCCGACGCGGGGCTTGAACTCACGGACCGCGAGATCTTGACCTGGCTGAAGTCGGACGCTTAACCGACTGCGCCACCCAGGCGCCCCTACTCCAGTCATTTTAAATGACTGTCAATTTCAGCTATCATATATTGGCAGTATCTTACACCTTTGGATATATTATTCGTATTAAAATGTGCTAGGACTCCTTTATATCCACTCACCATCTATGCATCCTTCAAAATCTATCTCCAAGATCACTTCTTCTAGAAGGTTCTGTAGGGAGGCTTTGTAGTTGTGACTTTGGTACTTTAAACATCCTTTCATGAAGAAGCGATTACACTGTCTTGTAAGCAATTGTTTACTTCACTATCTCTTGTTCAAAACTGTAAATTCTTAGAAAACATTTGCCTGTATTTCTTGGTGTCCTAGATTTACCGTGCAGTTGAGGCTAATTATTAAGTATCCCTAACACATTTATTTCTATAAAATTACATTATTTAGCTACAGGTTATACTAATAGCATATGTGTATATGCATGCTATCTATAAAATATACTAATATACACACACATATATATATACATGCACAAACATATATATATATTATATATATATAT